TTTGTCATTTCAGATGTTTAGTACGTTTTCTTTTTAGTTTATTTTTTTAGTTGAATTCACATAAGTCTGGGACTGAATATCATTTGACATTTTTCCGTACTAGTACTAATATAATAACTGAGTCTTAGTACTGATACCGGATACCTTTTTTGATACTTAACTTTAAAAAGATATAAAAATGTTTTATACAATACCCTTCTTTAAATGCCATCTTCACCTAAATGAAAGTCTTAAACTGGAAAAAAGACTATTTTATAGTTTATTTTATAAAAAAAACAAAAAAACAAAAAACAAAACTGGAAGTAAACAAGATTATGACCTGACATCCAGTGCCATTTTTGGTACTTGGCAGTTTTCAGTTCTCTGTGCTGCAGTGCATTTCAGTTGATACCAAACGTTCATTGACTTTCACATGGCTCTAGTATAATCAGGCCGAGTCACTGGTTCCTTCTTTCGTTTCTTTTCAGGTTTTCTCCTGAAACCTCAAGACGAGCTGATTGTGGAAGTCTCCTGCCGAGATGCCTACCTGAGGCTCTGCAGTGTCGCTGTGCTGAGAGACGGGCACGAAATCCGTTTAGACAAGCGTGTGGATTCGCAGTACACTGGAAACCCCATTTCAAATCAAAACCCAGAGGCGGAACTGTGCAGTGCGCTAGCGTGCCTTCAGACCGACCAGAATCAAACAAAAGACTTCAGCATGCTGGAATGTTCAGAAATGGCGCTCCTAAACAACCATGATTACCATCAGAGCTTTTGCAGCGCGCTGGCCAAACTCATGTCCCAGCTGAAGGTTAAATGGCAAAACCAAGAGCGAGGATCAGGTGTTCAGTCAGACTCTAGTGACCTGCTCTATGTCCTCGATGTGTCAGAGGGCTTCTCTCTGCTCTCCCTCGTCGCTGCCAGCCACGGCCATGTAAAAGCATACAGCTCTGTGGAAAAGAAGAAGCAACAGGAAGTCCTAAAGAGACTGGCCCGCTCCAATAATATCCCTGAACAGCATCTAGAGTTCTGGCTCAACCATGTGGACGACGAGCACGGGATGCTGCAAAGGCCGTCCAGAGAGAAACTGTGGAGTGCCATCATACTGGACTGTGTAGAGACTTGTGGTCTCATTAGACAGAAGTTGATGGAGAAAGCCTCACTGGCCAGGTAAGGGGAAGCGGCCAGAGTGGGGCTTGCAGAAATGTGTTATGATTATCAATTTAGTTAAAGTATACTTCTATGATCTATACTAGGTGTCTTCTGGAGGAAGGAGGACGTATTTTCCCAGAAAAGATTGTGGTGCATGGTATGCTGGTGGAGTCAGACACGTTGCTGCTGGAAAGTGCCGTCCAGGGCCAGGAGCCAACACTGGGATTCAATATTGCCCCCTTCATCAACCAGTTCACTGTAAGTATACCTACTCTACTCTGTATCAAGCAGTTTACGGTATTTATTTTGCATGTAAAGATCTTTACTCTTGTAACTAATGGCCACTGCAGGGTTTGCTGTAGGTTGTGCCATGCCCACTGACCCCCTTTTTTTATTTAACTTTTTTTTTTTTAATCTTGAAAAAAGATGTAGGCCACCATAACTGAGGCAAATCGCAAAGGATACCAACTCGCATCGTGTCCTTGCTTCTCTGTTTCATAGAGAAAAAGTTACATCTTGAGCGACTAAGCAAAAAAGAGAAAGTTGATGGTGCAGATTAGATAGCTTATCACAGATGTATTGGTTTAAATTACGATAATTTTCAGTGCAGAAATGTCAGATAGTTTGGAAGGCATTGCCGTTGCATAGTTTATCCACCAGGGAGCACTGACGTTTAACTGTACTGTAAAATTTCCCACTCACTACTAATGTTTGTTGCAAATATTTAATAACCAAATGCATGGGATCCTTATCAAAAATGTTTATGTATGTTTATAATTGTTATTGATGTTGATCTCACAAATCTCGCACATTAAGTTTCCATCTAATGAAATGAAAATTTGAAATTAAAAGGCCATCTCAAAGGTTGAGGTTATTCATTTTCCTCATAAAATGTATTCTTACTAAGTAAGAAAACTAGTGTTTTTATCGTATTCTTTTTTTTCATTGTCGAGCTAAAACTTTATAATAACACGAGTTGCAAAATCTTTCTTTTGTACATCTCGGGCAACTCATATTTTGTATTCTGTCTCATGTTCCTGAGGCAACAGTCAATATTGACAGTTTTCACATACAGTATGCTGTGTTTGTAAGCTTGCATCATTCACATTCAAAGTTTGCCCATTAGGTGCAAATGTGTTGCCTGTGGGTTTTGTTAAATATGATTGACATATAGTGCAATACTACAGAGGTGCAGAAAACAATCTCAGAACAAATTTGACTTGCCCTGGTTAATCAGCCAGACTGTACATCCAGTTTATTTATTTTTTTGTTTCCTACCATGTCTAGACTGTCTTTTGTTGGACAAGGTATTTCGCTTGGAATATTAAGGTCCAGGACTGCGTTTTCTGTTGTGCACTCCTCTTTGATGCGAGCTTCCCAGCTGCTTTAAAGAAGCTGCGAAAATCCCTTTGAATTCTTTTTCTTTATTTGGTCTGGAAATTATTTTTCCAGCATCATGTTTGTGCTCTAATTCCGCAGGCCCCACACGGGACAGTCCTTTGTTTTAACAGATGTTGTCTTTGAAGCCCTCAGTGGAGGGCACTTTTCTAGCACAACTGTCACACAAGACACAACACACAGCTTGGCCCAAGACATTCCTACCTGAATCCATCAGTACACATTACATCAAGCACATCAAACAGCGGGCTCTGAGGTCTACACAACTGTGACAGGGAGGAGGAAAGATTCTTTTGTTCTGCAGTAAAGGAAACAGTGACACTTTCTGTGCTGCCACTTTGGTTTCTCCCTCAGCTTTTAAGGCTGATGCCCTGCAGCCACAGCCTGTCTGTTAGGTTTGGAAGAGTTTGAGAAGATTAGTTTTCCAAGCATCAGTGATTGAATGATGATGATCCAGTAAATTACAACCTAATGTGGATAAATAATGGTTTTTGAGGAAGAGTGCCAACAACTGTGAGTCTTCTGCCACATGTTTTTTGGTTTGTTTTTGTTTTAAAAAGTGATATAAAAATACAGCCTTACTTACATTTTAATACACTGCAGCAGTGTTTCTCTTTCTGAGCCCTTTTAGTAAAAAAAAAAAAGAATGTAGCCACAAGGATAAAGTCTTTATAACAACGAAACAGTGTGCCTCGGTCTTTGGAAATCCATTCCCTCTTTTGTGGACAGTGGTTGCCAACCTGTGCATCAGGAGAGGAGCACCTGTTTTGTGTTACATCGCTGTCAGGTCCAAGTAGCACTTCCTCCCTGGTCTTTTATGGATTTTTATAATATGTAGCTCTTTACTAATCATGTCAACAGATAACCCTTTGTTTTATCTGCTGCAAACAAACTCGCTGACATTATGTTTGTCTTTTATGTCCTTTAGGTACCGGTCCATGTGTTTTTGGACTTTTCCACTCTGGAGTGCAGGCATCTTAGTGAGTGTGTGGAGCTCTTTGTTCTTGACCTAATGGATGCCACTGCAAACTACACTAACAGAGAAGTAAAGGTAAGGCATACGTTATTTCAGTTTATTTCATAACAGAGGTTATCTCAGGACACGTTTTATATAGAGCAGGTCTAGACTGTACTCTTTATGAAATGAGCCTAATGAGAGCTACTGGCATGGTTGGAATTAATATTATTAAACTGTCTTTAATAATGTGCTGTGCTACAACGGTACTGAACTGCTGAAACTTGAATTCATATATTGACTTTGCCAATATAGAAAAGCAAAATATCGCTGAGCTACTTTTTGGTACAAAAACATAGATATAAGTCATACTGTGCACATCTCCCTCACACTGACTTAACTTTACCTCCTAACTTTGTATTTTTGGTTCAAGATAAATTCAGCACAAAACCAGAGTTTGTGTCATGAAACAGTTGGAAATAGTTTAGCTTTGGAACAATAAAATGTTTTCCAGTCACCTCCACGTGTTTGTTTTAACGTTTATTCAGTGTTCTAACATGATGTGCAATATCCCCAAATGCTCATAAATATTAAATTCAAAAAATTAAAATAACTTATTAGTCAGGATGGAACAATGAGCTAATATAATTGTATTTTTTCGTATGCGTCATATTATTTTTAAAGAGGAGCAAAACATGACTAGTTAGTTACAGGTATTTGACAGAGTACAATATCTTAGTAGCTTATTGTTCTCATGTACCATTAACCATAATTCCTGTTTCCCAGGTTCAGGCTACTTCTGCTGGCAGAATAACTGCAATTCCTTTCTGGTACCACATCTACCTGGACCAGGAGATCAGCGTCAGCACCTTCAGCAAGAACTCTCACTGGAAGCAGGCGGCTGTTGTGCTGCAGCAACCCCTGGAGGTACAAGCTGGGGACTGGGTCCGCCTCGCTGTGAAGCTTCACAAGAGCACCATCTCCATGTCAGCCCATATAGACAATGAGACCAGACCAATGGAGCAATGATCTCTTACTCTGTAGTTTTGCGACCAATTTAATTTCTATGTATTTTATGCCTCAATCAAAGAGGTTATTGACACTTAGGGGAATGCTTTTACCGTTCTGGTATTTAAAAATGTACCTCCTCCAGTGTCATTTTCCATAAATGTAATAGTCTTCAAGTTTTCCCAGACATATTGGATCTCTATACTGAGATTTAGTAGAAGCCTGCATGACCAACAACCCTTGTAAGTTCCAGTGGGAATACTGGGTAACTATGATCTTAAAGAATTTACCACAATGAGTTATATTCAAGTTATGTTTTTATTTCTAAATTGTGCGATTTTATCCCAGGACAATTATAATTTGTACTTCAATTACATAATATTTGTAAGTATATATCATAAAGATAATGGTTCTCCCTTAATTATGGGCACAGTTGTTTTTGTAAAGATGTTTGTTGGTATCAATAAAAGCATTTCAACAATAACTTGAACAAAAAGAGAGTTGAAAATGTAGTTATTCTTATTTATTGAAGAGACTGTCAGAAATGGAATTAAATTAACACGTGGAACATTTACATCAGCTCCGACGTAATCCTGTCAGTTTGATTTAAAAAAATAAAATCCTGTAAGGCAATGTAACATTCTCTAGCTGGACATGATGCAGATTATGCTGTTGATTTGATACATGTATGCTATACAAACTGATATCCTACACTGTACATTAAACATGTCAATATCCCTGCACAGATCCATGGACGTAGCGCAACAGAAGATCTTGGATATTCTATGGGAAGAGTAAATGGCTTACGTGAAGTAGCTGCAAAGTTCTTCCAATTTAAAAGGCTAAAAACAATAGAGTCAAACATCTCCGCAAATAAGATGAGTAATAGCTAATGATGAAAGAATAAATGCTAAATTGATGTAGTGGATGAACTAGTTCCACGGCACATAGAACAAGGCATCTGAGATGACTAGTGACATTTCTATTTAACACTATAGAGTGACCTGTATGCAGTAGAGCATAGATATAAATGAACTAGAATGTGCTGATTGTACAGTTTTAGACTGAATTATGTATTTAATACTTGTGTTTTAATACTTAGACTGTACTTGAAAAACAAAATGTGTTGCTTCTGCTCTTTTCATCCCCTCCTCTACCTGGTGATTTACATCTACAGGATAGGGGGAAAAAATGTAAATCTAATGTGCTTTTGTGTAGTAGATTTTAGATTAGAAGATCACTCATTTCAATGGATGTGTTTTGAAATCCCTATAAACCAAAATATAGAGTGAAGAAAAAAAGTTATTTTAAAAATTGCATATTTCTCTTCTGTCATATCTGATCATGATATGACTGATATGACACAACAAAAAATCATAATTTCCTATTTAAAGGATACATATACATGATTCGCTCTGACTTCCGGAGGCTTTCTGTGGAATCTCATCTCAAGAAACATAACAGCACAGAGACTGGGTTCTTTGAAGAGAAATGTGCTCTTTGGGACACACATTAAAATTGACCAAAGGTCTTTCCCAATTGCAATGAATTAAAAACCATTATGACTCCCTAGAGACAAGAAAAGCTGCATAAAATGATCATCAACGAATCACTTAGTGCCGTATCTTCACTGAACATTCTTGGAGCTGTCACTGGCAGAGAGGTCCGCCTGGTTTTGCATTTGTTGGCAAACTTCTACTACTACGTTGTTGATGTGCCCTTTCAAACAACAGTTTATTAAATGTTGCTTTCACAAAGTCATGTCTAAAGGAACGTGGCAAGGCTGTAATTAGGTCCTGCCCTACCATGTCTGGTAGAGTCTGTTAGTGACATTAACCTTGGTGATAGGCTAGGTGATCACGATGAGATCTGCCTCTGTTGGTTCTTTGGTTTGGTTGGTCCTTTCTTCTTCCTGGGTTTCTTCAGGTCTAGCCTCATATCCTTCATCCCACTGGGCTGAGCTGAGCCCAGCGGGGGCTGACAGAGAGTGCGGTGTGAGGGTTCTGCCCAGGCCCTCATATTGACCTCTGGGTGAAACAGGGTTGGATGCCACCTCTGCAATGGCATCTTGGGAACCTGAAGAGAGCAGGCCGGATCGCTCACCGTCATTCTCCGCCTCACCGAAATAAGACTTCCTCGGACGACCCATAACTGTTCTCCCTGTCAATGAGGACAAAAAAAGTCTTTACTGTCTTCTCGATGTTGGAGAATATGGCACAGATAATTAAAATACACAACTGTGCAAGTACTCCAGTAGCCAGGAGGCACTTACCAACATTGCGGACTTGTTCAGAAATGTCTGCTCTGACATCAGAGATGTCCCACATTGCCATGAAAGAGTCAAAGCAGGAACCCTCCTCAGCCTCCTGGATGTAAGGCTTGTAGGTGAAGCTGAAGTGATGGGCAATGGCTGCCAGAAACATTTCCACACAGATGACAAAATCCTGAGGGAAACAGGACAGTTTGGTGCGTTTGGTTAGGCGGTGGTTTTTCTCACATTTTTAAAGAGTCAAATTTTATCAGATACTTTAAGAAAACGTCAACAATTAGGAGGCCACAGTCTTAACTAGATACACTTTAGCTTACCTGTAAGCCAGTAGCTACAGCCTCCACACTTTTCCAGTCCCATGTATGTTTCTCTGAGATAATGCCCACTTTCACCAGTAAAGCAATGAACACAGCTTGCCTAAAAGAGTTTACAAAATAACCACTCTCAGTAGCTACCACACAATCTGATATTTGATAGTCTATGTAAGTCAAGAAACTGCAACCATACTTCACCAACATATTAAGTAAAAACAGCTGATGCCAAGTATGATTTTAGAAACTTCCAGGTCATGCCATTAAGTTTGAACACACTGGTAATTACCAGAAAGAGACGAAGACCACCATTTTTACACACAGGAATTTGCCCACTGGTTTGATGGGACTCAGTTCCTCTCTCAGAGCCCTGTAGAACAGCACCAGGCAGTACATGGCAAACTAGATCAAGAGAACACAGACAGAGACAAATCTAGTTCAAAGGCGGCTTGTAACATTGATCTTATCTCCTCACACGCTCCCGGGCCCTAATGTATGATACAGTCCTTACTTGGCAAATGCATTCAGACTAATTTTAAAAATAAAACAACAGTAGCAGTATTACCAGCTGTGACATATTGTTGAAGATGACCAGGTATGTCCATGCATTTGTTGAACTAAAATTGCCTTCATCATACACTCCACACAGCTGACAGATCCTAAAGAAAAGACAACAGTCACAACAGACATATACATATACAAATACATGTACAAATACTGAACAAAAGCTTTGATTGGTATCAGAAAATAAAATTAAGTGCACTAAGAGCAGAGCTTACTCACAAAGCAATCACTGTTGTGACGGGTCTTACGACGGTGTACTGCAACACACCCAATTTGCATCTCAAAAGTAAAACCCTGTGGAGGAAATGTATAATTTAAATTTGAATTTAACTGATTAACGACATCTAATTTTCTATCACAAAAATATCGGTAAAATATATTGAATTTAAAATCAAATCAAATTGCTAATGTTCTGAAGGAGAAGAAATCACAACAAACAAGAACTGAGCATGTAAAAAAAAAAAGAAAGAGAAAAGGCTCTTGACAAAATTAACTGCACACAGGCATGTTAACCAATTATGGATGTTGCCTGACTGAGGATAATTTGAAGCTGGTGACTGTCCGAGATCTGTTGACTTTGTGAAAAAAAGGAAAACACTTCCATCTCAAAACTAATTTTCATTGCTACTTTTCTTCAAACCTACTAATAAATCTTTAAAGCAGACTAAATATTTGTACAGCTGTACAATGTCTTGGTTTCAACAAGTAACAGTGTATCTGTTAGAAAGTACTAGTTTGGCAGGAGGATGTTGGTTAAGCTTTTATGTATACAAGTTTGGTGTAAAGGGCCCCTCTTGGATTGCATGTATGTGTGAATAGTCCTTATTTTAAAAATGGAATAACTCTAAAGGAACCTTACTCTCCCATTGGCCAGGGCGGGCAGCAGCAAAGAGGGGGCAGGTGTTTCTGCTGCTCTTGGACTTCCAGCATCAACACCAGGCTGGGGTACTGATTTTCCAGGTAGTTAAGCAAGAAGGTCATGAAGTTGTAGATGACGTAGGCTTCGTAGCACTCTCTGCACGTGTCCACATAAATTGCTATACCGGGGTATTTTAATGCAATCCACTGCAAGATTTAAGAAAAAGAGAAGGATTACATGAAAAGTGAGGATAAAGGCATGTATTTATTCTTACATGCATATACAGAATGTGTAGCACAGTGGATGTGATTGCTATAATACACAACTCACACTGTCCAAGCTGTAGATCGGGACCATCCATAATATCCTAAAAAAACAAACAAACAAACAGAAAACAAAATCACATAAACAATTAAAAATCAGTTTCACACTATTGCTCATGGATGACCTGATTGTTGACATCTTTACCTGATGATAGGTTTCTGAAGCTCTGGCTGAGTGTAGTGAACCAGATGCTGGAGGATTCCCCATAATGATATAGGTATGGTCATGAAGACAAATATCCCAGCAATGAACCATGCTTTATTGTGAGTACCAACCTGTCATCACACGGAAAGAAACAGGCAACGCCGTTAACATACATTAAACTTACCTATGCATTTAAGTTTGGGAACTAGCATTTTAGCTACCTAGAATGTAATGTTTCTATACGAAAATCAGGGATGGAGGCAGTATTCAGATCCTTTACTCAAGCAAAATAGCAATGCAACTTAATTTCAAAGCTGTATTTAAAGGACTAGAGTGAAGAGGAAAGACACACATTCTACAAATTCATGCAGTTGACTTGTTTATTAAAAATAATCACATTTTTGAATTCTTTAAAAGGAAAATAAGACTTCAAGGACTCAGTTACAGACTAGTATAAGTGCCTCAACATTGTATTTGTAGTGCCAAAGAGCACCAAATGTGCTAAGTTAGAGTTCACCACTGTGTCAAACCAACAGGGCTCCCACAACATGACATGATCAGATTATCAATCAACCAATTGATCGAACTGACCTCTGACTTCTGCAGTTCCCAGATGCACAAGGGCAGGACGACTAATAGCAACAATATATAGAGCACAACGACCAGCGGCCTAATCCATCTTCTCCAGTTCCCACAGGAACAAGGCATCTTGTCATGAAGCCGCTGTAAAGGCCTTTAAAACCGGCCGCAGGCTCAGTGACACAAACAATCTCTCTCTGGTCTCTCAGACAGTCGCTAACGCTCCACACATTTTAACGTAAGCGTCGCATTTTCTCACACTGTTAACCGACCACACACAACCGTCCACTGCTGGTCCCAACATGAAACCGCGGCTCTTTCACTAATGTTAACTTTCATTCGTGTGGGACAGAGCTGCTGGGTAATTACCGGCTCATATGACTCGATTTAAGCGAGCTGTGTCGCTAACCTTAGCTCGTCATCTGATTCACCATGTAAACAAAACAAAGCAGAAGACGCTGAGCTGAACTTGAGAGTATCTCCGCGTCTACCGGGATACAAATAAAACTCCCGACTCATACATCAACCGACTCTCTAGATGAACGGACCCTTGAACGTATTTTTAGTAGGTTTGCGTTGGTAAAAGTTTTCCAAAAAGTAATTGCTGTTGTGGAGAGTGTGTACTTCCTGTTATTGCCTACAATCTATAATCTGATTGGTGGAGTCGAGGCAGTTAGCCAATCATTAAAGACGATTTGTTACAGAGTCTGACGTTACTCGTGACTAGTTTGGTTGCACTGCACTCTCATGACCACGTCTGTGCTTTGGCCAGCAGAGGGCAGTGTGAATTAACAATTAACCAGGTTATAGTGAACCTAAATGTAACTGTAGTAGCGCTGGTTTGAAAACGACAAGACTGGTCACCATGTTTTGTCAGCATGTTCTTTTCATTATGTTCTTTACCAAAGTATTTTATAGGTCTAACCAGCCAGACCTTGTTAAAGTTTGGCCTTAAATTGGGCATGTGATTGTGAGGTTACTGATGAAAATGATAATGGTTTTACTCCCATTTTAATCGAAATTACAGGCATATAAAGAAATCACTGCCTCATTTTTTACAAGAGACTTTTCCATATTGGCAAATCTGGGCTAAAATACAAGATATCAAACGTAATAATTCTGCTTCTTTTCCCTCTTGAACATTTAATTCTGTTTGCCCGAAGTGACCCAAAAATTTCAAACACTAAGATGTGCACAGCCTGTACTTTATGTAGGCATTCAGTGTCTGTAAATCAAACATTTCCCCATTGAAACATACAATAAACTTAATATGTTATAACTGCTTATGAAAATATGAGTGTAATTTGTTGAAGTGCAATACAATCAGTTTTACAATAAGTTTGAAGTCAGTAAAACTGCATAGAAAAAGAACAGGTGTATTATACTTTATTCTATTCAAATGTCCTAATAAGCCATGACAGTGTGACAATATGCCAAAATGCACAATACCAAGACTCTGAAACCAAAGCAGCTACATGGATTTCAGTCACCATTCATTTTATTATCCACACCTGGGCTTTTCCTACTGTGACATGAAAAATTGCAGCGAGTGAGAAAGACCTATTAGAGCCATTTCATTAAAGACTGCATCATATTAAAAAATCAAGGGCCAAATCGGTCCAATATGTATATCAGTTATGGTACCTATGATTTGTTATGTCAATTAATTTTTATCATTAGTCAAATATACATTTTAATAATGCATGGTATTTATTTTAATTTCAATACTTAGGTATCTCTGATGTTTTACATAAAATGAGGAACCTCTCAATGATCAAGTGTAAGATTTACTGGCTGTTGAAGCAAAACAACCATCATCCATTGTTTCTATCCCTTTGGATAAGAATTTATCTCATAGATACAGAACTCCATAAGCATTTACCCTGTTTTTAAAGGTTGTATTATATAAATATATTTATTTAAACTAAATCCTGCATTAATAAAGTAATTAAAAAACACCTAGAACCTCCTTCTTACCTTTTGCTCTTGTGTGCACGTGTGTGCACATGTTTGAGTGTATTTGTGTCTGTGTGTCTTCCTGTAAAATGAGGGGAGGCAGAACTTTCCTTTCTGTTGCACCATATCTCCACTGCCCCACAGTCACAGAAATCACTGGTTGTAGCAGGACAGATTGTTCATGAATTTTGAATTGATCCTTTTGGCTTTTATGAATTAGAAATGGTCTTTGCCACAAATCGTACAAGCGAGTGCCATGGTGGATAGCTTGGAGGGATTGCCATGCAAAGTGGCATACAGGGTATAGCCATGTAAGGGCAGAGTAGATAAACATATGCTGTGTTTGATCAGACCGAAAATATATTTTAGCATAAAGGATGTGGCGTCCATTATGTCTCACTAAATCATAGCTTTATTTATAGGGTGAAGTAACTCGTACAGTATGTGCCTTGCAGGAAACACACATAGAAGGAGTAAGCGGAATGGATAGGACTGAGGAATAATAATAATCAATGCACAACAAAGGAGGAGACATACTGTCTGATTCCTGAGATATAATGTATCAGCCAAAGTGCACCTCCTTTGTCAGAGGAAAACACAAGTCTGCAATTGTTCAACAATTACTTATTTATCTTAATACGTCTGCCATAGGCCTTTGTGTCAGGAAATGTTCAAACTCACTGAGGGTGTTCACTTCAGTTCATCTGTTCCTGAACAACAACCCAAGTGACGCAGGATGGAGTCAAAGAAGCTTACAGAAGTCATACAGGATGATTATCTAAAAACAAGAGTTACAAGGACAAGGATAAGTCTGGTAAAATATATATTTATATATACTATATGTTTAGAAAAATATTAAAAACACACAATGAGCCACATTTTCCTGCATGAATATAATTTATTCTAAGTCAGTACTACATACACTGTCCTGCTGCTGTATACCAACCAGAGCACCAAATATGTGCCTGACAGTGTTGGGCAGTAACTCATTACTAGTAATAATATTATAGTAATAATATTATCCCCAGTAACTGGTAGTGCAACTAATTACAAATAAGTATTAATATTACAGTTATCCCCCAAAAAATAATTAGTTACAACATTACTTTTATTGTCACCCCCCTACTGATTTGAAATCCAACAATCGAATCACATCCTTGGATGAATTTTTGTAATCATGAATGAAACTAGCTCGGAACATGGAAACACTTACATTCAGCGGCTGGAAATATTCCATTACTTTGATTTTAACAAACAAAACTGAATTTAAATTGTCGTAAGTCTGAATATGGGGGAGAAATGACATAATTACTTATTTTTTGGGGAGTAGCAGAAAAGTAATATAACTCGTAGTGTTACAAATTACTGTTGGCAGAGAGTAATAACTAAAGTAATAGTATAACTTTTGAAAAGAGTAATAAGTAATAAGTAATAATAGTCAGCTGCAAATATGGCTCTTGACCCCAAGAAAATTCCAACAAGAACGCGTTTCTCAGTGGTTTTACAGTTTAGTATCAGATGTACTTAAAAAAAACATTTACTAAAAGTTTACCAAAGCTTGGACTCAAGAAAGGCCCCATTTTCAAAATTGGCCGCCTCAGGTCCTTGAAAGGTGACGAGTCTACTCCTTTGTATTTCCTTGCTAGACCAGGGAATACTTGCGTGGCCTGATACGTGGTTTAGGCCATGTAATGATTCTAATTGAGCATCATTTGCATGGAATAGATAAGTGGATTCAAGTACAATTATTATTACTTATTAAAGCAATTGGTTACAAGCCAGTCATCTTTATGCGAAAATAAGCTACAATTTCCCTTAAGTTTAATTGCATATTTCTCCTTTCTCATATCGTTTTGCCTAGTGGTGGTTGCTGTTGGTTCATAAGCCACTTTGTTTATTCCAATAAAGAATAAATGTTCATTAGACTGTGTGGTACTGTAAACTTACGTCAAAAACAGGGCTTGCCCAGTTGAAGGGCTCGAGTACCGCTAACGCCCCTTTTTTATTTTTTTTGTGTTTTGTTTTTATTTTGTTATATTTTTTTCTTTTCTTATTTATACATATCTTTTCTATTGTTCTTTCAGTTGTTTGCCTCTTCATTCTTGGTTTATTTTTTTTTTTTATACTTTTTGCACTGTGACCTTCACTAGATTTTACCGTTGAATCGGCTGGACATCTCCTTCCCATAGAGGTTGATGTATTAGTGTTGCTCACAAATTCCCAGTGGCCAACAGCAACTAAACAAGTCACTGAAGCCAACTGTTTTCATCTCACTGATGTTGTACGACTTCAGTAGCTTTGGACGTTTGATGTTCGTCCCAGCATAGTAGAGAAAGAAGAGTAAGCTGTATCCTTTCGCCGCCGGTATCAAGGTTGTGGGCTGATGTTCTGAGCCTTGACTGCAGCTGCGTGACAATGCACGTGCTTTGTCATAAAAGCATGCAGGCCCCTTTCTTTCTCCAGCTCATCGGTCCCGATAAGACTGTGAGTAAGCCTTGTTTGTGGCAACGATCTGAGAAAGCGGAAATGCATCCTTTCTTGCCCCACCAAACGTCTCTGCACTTGCACAGCGTTTAACGATGGGGTGAGTGGTTTCGTCCGACCAGTCTCCTTGATGCGCATATTGTGCGTTTGATGGAAAGACCCTTTGTGCTATACCATCAAAAACGGACTGTTGCTGCTTGACCATACATGTGGAGGTGGGTAAAGCGCTGCGCACTCCATGACTGTGCACATCCTTCTGGCACCGTGAAACTAGTCCCCGCTCGGTTTCCATGCCAAGGCGGGTGAACCAGGGAGCCGACCGGTCAAGGGACATTACATGCCTCGCGGGTTTGGGTGGGGATGGAATCCAGGACAGTTTGTTAGGTTTTCTTGCTTGGAAGAACTCAGGACTGCCCTGCACTAGTTGGGGCTTGTTGGCTTTACTGAAGATTATCCTTGCCTTGTCGAAAGGCTGCGAGAAATGAGCCAGAGCTCCCATGGCTCGATTACAGTGAAAACTGTCCAGTTTTCGACATGATCAGGAACCGCCCGTTGGCAACAGTGTTGTGGTTTCATGTCTTTCCGTGCTCAATGCACCCTCCAGGCGCATGTCTATCTGACGATGAAACCTTGTCTAGCTATCTGGACTCGTAGCTGAGAGGACCACGGAACTCGTTACTGGAAGGTACCCAGCAGAGATGCGGACACAGACTCACGGAAGCAAAGATTGAGATGAAGTATTTTGGAGTAACTAGTCCAACATGGTGTGGCCTGAGCAAATAGCGAGTGCCGCAGACAGTATTATGTACTCTTTTGAGCCAAGTTCAATACAATGCAGATGTTTTTAGGAAATTACTTAAGACTTGTCAGAGCATTAGATTTTATTATC